GGGGGGGGGGGGAGAAATGAAGAAGAGGAAGCGTATTTATTCTTGTTTGTTCCTATTTTTAACGTTGAATTCATTGCGAGATATACAGGCAATGGCGGGAAGGATAGTACATCGAAAAGGTGGTGATTCTTGATGCAAAGATAACTCAAGGATGCTTTATTGGTAAAACTGCACGTTTATATGTCGCGTAAAAAAGAAGTGGTGTTCTCTTTCTTATGCTCGATTTATGCACAATTATGTGTTTAGTAATTTATTTTTGATGATATAACTTTTCACAGTTATTCTTAATTAGAGATGCTATTTTAATCATATATTTTAATAATTATATAATTATATATTTTATTTTCAAGATGAGTTTGCGCGACATCAGATTCTTGAAAATCATTCAAGCCCAAAGTAGAGAGATAAGACATCAGTTTTTACAATATTCAGTTTTTTTTATATTTCACTGCTTCAAATTTTTAGCTTGTTATTTCCTCACCTGGAATTATCCCGTTTTCGATCGTACCGACTCCGCCGCAGCTCCTGTATAGTTGGCTCGTAATCATGATAATAAGAATATAATTACTATTCATCAATGTACAGCACCCTTTATGGTTTAATGTGATACCTTACATATTATTAAATAAATCCAAACGATACGAGAAACGAAGAGAGAAGTTTATATATGTATATGAACACAGGAAGGGAAGGAAAGAGCGACGGGAAGCGCGGAATCCAAAGGTTCAGGGACAGAGAATGAATGCGATAAGGAGGAAAGCCGAGGCGAAATGATTTATATGCAGTTATACACCCTAGCTGTATAATTGTATACAATCCGTTTTTTCTCGGTAAGAGAGAGAGAGAAAGAAAGAAAGAAAAAAAGAAATGCGTACCGGTGAAGAACAAGTAGTAATATATCCAATTTTCTAGGACCATATTTTTCAACGCGATCGACGTTGGTGATCGCTGCGCGCGTGCTTATTACTAAGCTTCTTACTATGCACAGATCTTCGAATTGTTCTTTTCCTTCGTTTAACGCGCTTCGTAGTTCGATGTCGGATGCTTCCATTAGAGCACGTGGCCAGAGAAGCGATGCTCTCGATATGTATCGCGACGAGCTCGGTCGAAAATGAGTGATGTTTTTTATGTTGTTTTCTTTTCTTTTTCACCGACTTGACGTCTATCATTGGAGCTTGGCTGATGCGATTTTATTGAGGAGGAGGAGGGGAACGGCGATACAAACTGACGAGAGAGAGAGAGAGAGAGAGGGGAAGATGGCACGGCGGTCTCCGAGCGTGCTCTCGCAATGAAATCGGGGACGCGACTGTTGATGAATGTGTTTAATTGCGCGCGAGATAATAGCGAGCAGTCCTTCGTAGAGGGACGCGCGATTTCGCCTCGTTCTCGTATACACGCACAATATTCGACATAATATACATTATGCGGCTTCGTATCAGAGAGAGAGAGAGAGAGAGAAAAAGAAAAAGAGAGCATACTAGAGCTTAGCGGTTTTTACACGCGTGTTACGAATGCGTGGTATTCCGATTTCTTGTATACGCGTATTTGTCACCATTTATTTTTCTTTCTCAGAATTCATACTTAAATAAATGACATATTACGTTTGAACCGTGTGAACAAACGAACAAACACACTCAACGTCCGTCCTCCGTTATCCTCACCCCGCCTCCTCGACGTGTTGGGTATTTTCCGGGAAAGTGGACAGCTATGGTGCGTGATGTAGGAAATGTGTGAGAGAAAGAGAGAGCGTGTTTGTTTTTATATTTGTATCTCTTTAATTAAGCAAGGCGGTGTATTGTATTTAGTTAAATTAGAAACTTCACTGTCTTTTGTATATGCGCTTAGCTTTGACGTCGCTTTTGTTGGAGGATAGGTGCTGAAACAGAAGAGGGAGAAAAATCGTCGTTAAGCACGCGCACATTTCTCTATTGTAATGTTAATTATTGCAGCTTAATATACGCGCAGTGTCCACATACACACACAAAAGTCGTACTTACCACAACCATTCCGTCGGCCGTAAACTCGTAAACTCGAATCGCCTTGAGATCCGCGGTTAACGAGGTCTCGGTTCTGAAGTTGTCGCCTTCCCTCGTGGTGACGCTCTGTGACGAAAGATATGACTGTTAGATTTGTCGTACGAAGAAATTCAGATTTCAATATCGTATCAATATTTTTATCGTATTATGTCGTTTCAATATCAATCCATACTTTATCATTTCGCATGAGACGCGCGACAATGATCTTTGGGTATGATAATTTTTAATATTCTCGATCCGATATTAACGTCCCGCGTGCGCTTCAACGATCACCGGGTACCCCTATGCGCAAAGTAAAAAAGTAATATTCATTTCCGCTCACACACAGACGGCAAACTTGCAAATGAAGTGTCAAAGAAATTTAATCTTAATGTATGCGCGCATGTTGAGTTTATGCTGGATTATATATATATATATATATATATATATATATATATATATATATATATATATATA